TGGGTTCTCAGACTTCAAGAACTCCACTGAGAATTCCCCCCTTCATCTGGTTGTGCAGTTGATGGGGTGCTTGCTTCCACTGTGCCAGCCCTTGCCAGCATCCACTGGTTGGAGCCAATTGGGTGTCCAAAGCCTTTATCTGAGCGATGTGAGCAGGTTTCACATCTTTGGTTGGGCCAAAAGTCTGAGGAGATCAGAGTCATCTCCTGATGCCCTCTCTCTACTTTTAGATGATTTTTTCAAAGGAGGAATGTTTAAACTGGAAAACTGTATGTCTTATCCATCCCCGAACTGTGCTGGCCAACTCCAGCTCCCACTGTTCAGTTTTTGTCTTTGGAGGCCAGAGCCGGTGATATTGATGCTGCAATTTAAATACGGTTGTTCCATAGCAAACCCTCTCAGCTGATCTTCTTATAATTCACCCTTACTCTCACAGCTGCTTAGAACTACACTCTGATATGATGAGAACAAAGCATATGAGGACATAAAAATTAAGATTTTAATAAAACTAAGTGATCTTATAACCCTCTGTCCCTGTGACCTTCTCCAGCCTCCGGATTGCTCTCATTCTAGGGCAGAATTTAAGGGACCTTAAAGACTAGGAGCTCTTGCCTGCTTCACATACCTTTAGCCCAAGAATGAACAAAGCAAACTGTGTCATTCCAATGAGCAGTTCTTGAAAGAGCCTTTTCTCAATTTCTGGCTAATAGTCTTCATAATAGCTCATTACCTCCCATCCCTGATCCTTCCAGAAAGATATACCTGTGTTTCCAGCACATCACTGTCTACTCCGGACCACCCTTCTCTGGGCAGTGTTTTCACACCCAGCCTGCCATGCAGCTCACAAGGTCTGGAGAAGAGTCCATAAATTGAAAGAACTTGAAAACCAACTGCTAACACCTTCAGAAACTAAGTGTGTGAATAGCACTGAAGCAATTCAGTGGGAATAGGGTTCAGTGTTAGCCTTGGCAAGGCAGGCATAAAAATGAGTGTGTTGTCAACCCTTCTAAAGGCAAAAAAAAACCAAAAAAAAAAAACTTAGCTTTATTCACCCAACTTTTTGTAAAAAATTTTTAATTTTATATATATATTTCTTTTGTTGTAGTTCTTTTTTTTTTTATTTTTGCGGTACGCGGGCCTCTCACCGTTGCGGCCTCTCCCATTGCGGAGCGCAGGCTCAGCGGCCATGGCTCACGGGCCTAGCCGCTCCGCGGCATGTGGGATCTTCCCGGACCAGGGCACAAACCCGTGTCCCCTGCATTGGCAGGTGGATTCTTAACCACTGTGCCACCAGGGAAGTCCCCAGTCATTTGAATTTTTAAAAATTCACGTTGTAATAATTCAAGTAATTCAGAAATAGCCAAAGTAAAATTATTTTCTGACCCCCCCTCTCCTTTAGCTTCTCTCTCTCTTGTAATTTACAGATAATAATTTGGTGTGTATCCTTGCATACTTGTTCCAGTGATCTTGCAAATATTTTATACACACACATACATAAGTGCACACACATATGTTATATACACATTGTACGTATGCTGTTATGTGTAGAAATGGGATCACCACTGTATTATTCTGTGACTTGCATTTTTCACTTAAATAGATGAGTTGAATCTGTACTTTTAGTCTATCTTATTCTATTACTTGCACATAATTTTGTGGTATAACTATATCAGAATTTAAGTCAACACTTTTCCCTGTTGGGAAATATTCAGGCTGTTTCCAGTTTTCTGCCAAAGAAAATATTTTGCCACCAATAAATTTCTTTGATATGTATCTTTGTGCATTTCTGTCAGATAAAGCCCAGGGTGTGCATATTTAAAAATTTGAAGACAGTGCTATAGTACTTTATTTTGTATTTTATTTTTAATACTTTACAATCCTATCAACAGATCATTACTGCTGAGGTACATTCATATCCTTGTTGTGATTAAAGCCTTTTGCTAGATCTATGCTCTTCCGCTAGACCATCTCAAGTTGATTACATTTACACTTTTGGTGTTTTTTTTTTTTTGGTGCTTTGGGTCTTTGTTGCGGTGTGCAGGCTCTCATTGCGGTGGCTTCTCTTGTTGCGGAGCTCAGGCTCTAGGCGTTCGGGCTTCAATAGTTGCAGCACATGGGCTCAGTAGTTGTGGCTCCTGGGCTCTAGAGTGCAGGCTCAGTTGTTGTGGCTCGAGGGCCTAGTTGCTCTGCGGCATGTGGATCTTCCGAGACCAGGGCTCGAACTTGTGGCCCCTACATTGGCAGGCAGGTTCTCAACCACTGCAGCACCAGGGAGGCCCTATGCTTTTGTTATTTGGAAAAGAAAAACTTTTTACCTCCAGGTTAGCTTTACTGGTTATATTCACTCAATTGGATTTCACTTCTATGCAGTTAGTCAGTTAGAACCAAATTTTCATTTAGGGGAATTTGACTCAGATATTCTCCTCCTCCCGGAATCAAACCAAAACTTTTAATAAATCATGAGTTTATTTTAAGAAGGAGCCCAGAGAGTTCATTAAAGCTCACAGACCTTTAAGAAGTTGCTTAGTGGCTACTTGATTGTTATGAACTGAAATTGTAAAGATGGTTAATAGTTAAGCCTAGGGAAAGATTGGAAATTCTGAACATTTGGAAGATGTATGAGACATAACATAATCCTCATTACCAAAAATGTCTGTGCTAATTCTCTCCTGGTGATTTCTGTGCAATTGTTTAATAAAAGAACTAATAAGAGAAAAAACAGACCAACAGAGGCTGGTTTATAAAGCAAGAAATACAATTTGCAAAAATATACAGGGAAAGACATTGTTCCACCTCCCTATTCAAATTGTAAACACATTTTAGTTGATGATACTGGCTGCAATTTGGTGGACTAACCATTCTTGTACACCCCTGGAGGGCAACTCCATTGTGTGTGTGTGTGTGTGTGTATCAGAGTCCTCAAAAATATGCTTTAATGCAGTAATTCTCTTCCTGGGAGTTGATAGCAGCAAAAAATTGAAAACAGTCTAATCAAGAAGTAGAATAAAAGTTAAACTATGAAAACCTTATAGATTATTGAGCCAGTAGAAATCATGTGTATAGAGAATACTTCAAGTATTTAAATGACACAGGGAACTAGACACTATATAATAAGTGGGGAAAACAGCCTTCAAAATTATAGTGGTATTTCCCAGGACATGTCTTGTGAGACGTGAGATCCTCCATGGCCAAATTAGCTTGAGAAATGCTTAGCTAATCAGAATTTAATAAGGTTATGCATTACAGGACTTGTCGTCTTAGAGATTCATAGAACATAAGGTGACTTGTAGTATTTCCCAAATTTCCTTGACCTTGAAACTTTTTCTAAGCAATACCTAGTAGCTTCTTTCAGAATACTTGGGTTCTATAGAAGATAATATGGAAAGTGCTAATAAATGTTCAGTCTCATTTTTTGTTTTTAAAAACATAGTGATATCTGTATATTTTATGTGTTTACCTATATAATTACATATGTTTGTATACATGTGTGTGTGAAAAAAAAAGCTGGAGAAGATAGATGAAGAAGGTCATCTCAGGACTTCTCTGGTGGCGCAGTGGTTAAGAATCCACCTGCCAATGCAGGGGACACGGCTTTTAGCCCTGGTCTTGAAAGATCTGACATGCCGTGGAACAACTAAGCCCATGCACCACAACTGCTGAGCCCACGTGCCGCAACTACTGAAGCCCGTGCGCCTAGGGCCCATGCTCCGCAACAACAGAAGCCACAGCAATAAGAAGCCCACTCACTGCAACAAAGAGTAGCCCCCGTTCGCCGCAACTAGAGAAAGCCCGCCCACAGCAATGAAGACCCAATGCAGTCAAAATAAATAAATAAAATTTTTTAAAAAACAGGTCATCTCAGGGTTGTGAAATTACTGGTAACTTTTTTCTTTATATTAGTCTGAATTTCTTAAATTTTCTGCAAAAAAAAAAAAATCACTTCCAACACTGAAAAAAAAGTGTTTTTTAAATTCCCATAAAGTTAACTAAAATCCACTGGTGAATAGTGTTTCACACTCTAGTTTGAAGTGGGGGGACACAGTTGCATAGAAAAGAAAACTCAAAAGGGCAAGGGGAAACTTTGAGAGGGGATGGATGTATCTTACGCCTTTATGGTGGTGATGGTTTTATGGGCGTATACTTATCCCCAAACTCATCGAGTTGTACGTCAACTATATACCACTTTTTACATGTCAGTCATACCTCAATAAAATGTCATTTCAAAGAAAAAAACTCAAGCATTGGCGTCAGATCTGGGTTCAGCCTCTGGTTTTAATCTTGAGCAAAGCATTTAATCTCTGCCTCTCACTTAAAAAATAAGAATACTATTAATACCTCTCACAGAGCTGTTGTCAACATCACATCAGGTACAGTACGAATGTGTCTAATATGTGCTTGTAAATGTGCAAAGATGGTTTTAACTGAATTATTCACTAATGATTGCATGTATAGGGAAATACCTCTTTAAATGAATGTTTAAATGAAGTTTACTATGTATTGGAATAAATGTTTTTATTGTGGGAGTATACTTCTGAAATGAATGAAATGAAATGCTCTTGTTCTTAGCAAAGAATATGGCTCACTCTATTAAATCGGAGGGAAGTGTTTTTAGACTAATGTAAATGATTTCCATTTAATTTTTAGTCAGAATTCTTTCTTTTTCTCTACTTGCTTTTAGCTCTTGTCAAATAATTGTCATAAAGATGAGGTTTTACTTACTGTGATCCATTATCTGTGACTCACACCCCTTCTTATGACTTTTCCTCAAAGATCATCATGTTAAAAAAAAAATTATTGAAGAATTTAGTCAGTTTCTCATGGGATTGTAGAATTCCTTATTGGGAAGATTTTTCTCTTAATATATGAAATCACTGTTAAATGTTAAGATTTTGGTGCTGTGACTGGTAAACTTTACTGATGAAGTATATTTTCACACTCTCTCCATAGCTGTTTTTTGCAATGTTTTTTTTCGTTTTTTTACTTCTCTGTTTGTCATTTAGCAACTCTACAGAAAGAAGCCCGGTTTGGCCATCACATTTGCAAAGCTGCCTCAAAATTTGGACAAAAACCGATATAAAGATGTATTGCCTTGTGAGTATCCGGCGTGAATACCTCCTCCCCGCTACCACACACACACTGAGATAATGTTTCCCTTTTTAAAACAGATTGTCTGGTATTCTGGAACGATTTTCAGTGTGTCTGTAAACACCACCGTCTTTACTGCAGCCATTTCAAACTCTGAACAGTTGGGGAATAGTGTTTATGCTAATGAGGCGAGAGCTGCAGATGGGGCTGGGAACTGAACTCTTGTTTACTCGGTGCGATAAAAATAACACTAGGAATAATCAGTAAATGTCTTGCTCTCCCCACAGATGACACCACCCGGGTATTATTGCAGAGAAACGAAGATTATATTAATGCGAGTTACGTGAACGTAAGTTAAAAATCTGGATCGTGAGAAAAAGCACATTAATCACTGCCACAAGCATGACAGTGGTGTGTGAGGTGCTTCGCATTTGGCGAAGTGCTTTCCCGTTCACCCCCTCATTTCATCACCACAGCAGCCATTGAGGGAAGGCAAAATAGTCTCATTTTACAGAGGATGAAACTAAGGTTCAGAGACATTTAATAATTTGAAAAGTCACAAAGCTAACGGAAGGTGAGACCAGAACTCAGATCCTGTGTCTCTGACTCCATCATCCACATGCCTTCTGTCCTCAACTGCAGACATTTAGGTGTTCTGTTGTTTTGGCCATTGGTATGTTTGTAACTTTCTGTGTTTTTCCCCCATGTCGTTACATCCTGCCTAAAAATAAGAAAAATAAGACCACCTCTGGGCATATAACCCAAAAACAAAAGGTAAAAATTTCACATGTTGTTGGGAAAACATTCATTTCACTCTGAAAATGCATGTTGGGCAACTTAGCCTCTCTGAACCTCAGTTTCTTTATCTAAACCAGGGGTCAGCACACTTCTTCTGTAGAGGGCCAGATAATAAATATTTTGGTCTCTGCAAGCCAGGAGACAAAATTGAGGATATTAATTAGGTACTTATATAGCCGTTTAAAATGCAACCATGTGAGGGCTTCCCTGGTGGTGCAGTGGTTGGGAGTCCACCTGCTGATGTGGGGGACACGGGTTCGTGCCCCGGTCGGGGAGAGGCCACAACAGTGAGAGGCCCACATACCAAAAAAAAAAAAAAAAAAAAAGCAACCATGTGAAAACACAAAAAAACACCTTAGGCTTGCAAAGTGGCAGTTAAATTTGGCCTTCAGCCCATAGCTTACCAACCTCTGATCTAAATGAACAGATGACTTTTCAGGTTCTCAGGTTATAGCATGATATCAAGAACAACCAGCAAGAATGGGTCTGATCAGTGATTCCCCTTATTCAAAAGCATCTGTGAGATTCATTGACCCTCACTTCAACATTCCTGGTGTCCTGCAAGCAGAGCATCAGAAATGGTGGGGCTGCTAAGGCCATGCAGTCCTGGGGTGGGGACTGGCTGAGACCAGGGCTGAGGAAGCCCTTAACCCAAGCACCAACCAAACCATGAGTTAGGCACCTCCATTTACCTTTCCCATCTAAGAATGAGTGAATCACAGTGCCGCTCCAAAGCTCAGCCAGTTCTGAGTGTTCTTTCATAGAAAAGACTTAGTTTAGAAGCAGAAGGAGAGCAGGGTGGGAGAGGGACACTGAGGACAGTTGAAAACATTTTGACATCTAGCATTAATCAACTCAGATGGTAACCTTGTGAGGTGATGTGTTCATGAACTCGACTCTAGGAATCATTTCACAGTGTATACATATATCAAACCATCATGTTGTACACCTTAAATATATACAATTTTTATTTGTCAGTTATACCTCAGTAAAGCTGGGGCTGGGAGGGAGATTGATCAACTCAGTGGCACAAACATTGGCAGCCATGCAGAAAGCAAAGTGGAACAACAGTTGGTGGGATAAGCCTGTATGGCTTATGCTTCAAAGAAAATAAATATTTTGATAGAAAACCCTGCATAGGGAAAGATGTGAGCATGAGGATTGGCATGTGTCGCTGAAAATGCAGTTCCCCAATATTGACTATATTTAGGATACAGCGGTGAAGGTCATTTAAACTCTTTTCCATCTCGTAGGTCCACTTCTGATTATCGCCTATTGACTATCATATAGTTTTATCTTTAAATATCTAATGCTAGTATTATTGTTAAATACTAGCATTTGAAGCTTTTTTTTTTTCTGGCCGCATGGCTTGTGGGATCTTAGTTCCCAGACCAGGGATCGAACCTGTGCCCCCTGCAGTGGTAACGTGAAGTCTTAAACCACTGGACCGCCAGGGAAGTCCCTTTGAAGCATTTCTGAGAGTAGCTTTTTCTTTGATTATTCTTATTGGCCAAAAATTGATAGAGATGTTATTCTGGTGTGATGACAGTCACTAAGTGAAAGAATGTAAGATCCAGTTCCCTGTCCACCTTGTGGCAATAACGGATTCTAATGCCTTAACAATCTCTTGCCAGATGGAAATTCCTGCTGCGAACCTTGTGAACAAGTACATTGCCACTCAGGGACCCCTGCCACATACCTGTGCACAATTTTGGCAGGTAGTCTGGGATCAGAAGTTGTCACTCATCGTCATGTTGACCACTCTCACAGAGCGAGGGCGGGTAAGTGGCTTGATCTCCAATTCAGAAGTGTGCATGTCACACTGTGCTCTGCAGAACGTGAATTTCAGGGCTGGAAAAGGTCTTAATGAAATGTCGCCCGGTCCAGCCCCTATGTGACCCATAAATCTCCTGTACAGAGCTACTGATGGATACCTCCAGTGACTGGAAGCTCAGCACTTTTCCTGCCCACTCCCTGGCCTTTCCAAGCTAAGGAGTGATCAAACAGCCCCTTCCATTCCTGCCTCCGATCCATTATAACAAGCAGGAAGGCTCTTCACCTTGCCTTACCTGTCCAAGAACCCCTGTTTTAGCTGTGGCCTTACCCACCCAGGACAAGTGCTCAAGTGCTGGTCCTGAGAAGAGCAGTGTGAGTGCCAGGTTCACAATGGCCATAAAAAGTAGAAGAAATGACCTCTGTCAACCTCTGCTTGTGTTGCAGCAAAACCTGATGCAAAAAAGAGGTAAGAAGGGCTTAACTAGGAGAGTGATGGGCACCCTGCTGTGCTCAGCCTGCCGTGCATTTTCCATAGGAACAGATCACTGATTATATAACAGAAGTCAGTGTGCAAGGGATACTGTGTAGCATGAGTTCTCTAACTTCTGCCTGCATCTGGGTATCTTCATTATGAAATGTTTATCCAGAAACACATTCCAAAATCAAATATAAAGTAATTTTGAACCACCTATTTTGAATGATCTTTGTGCCACTTCCTCCCAGGCCTCTCTTTGGTATGTAGCTCAGAATTGAGCTGTGCTGAAAGTCAGAATACAGGATTGGAATGGATAGTATGTTTGAGGAGATCAGGCTACCCTCTCACTCAAAACAGCAAAATAAGTATTCCTACTGTTTCTAGAGAGACCTGTGGATTGCAGAGGGCTTTCACACAGGTTGTCCCAGGCAGGTGGCTCCCCACCTTGGCTAAAACACTTCCAGGGTCCATCCATGAGTATTCGGCTCTGATTTTTTAAAAAATCCCTCTTTACGACACGCTGAAATCCACATCACTTTGAACCACCACCCCACCTGCTTCTCTTACCTGGAAGACTCAGTTATAAGTTACCCTTCTCTTCTATGCAATGCCCTTTCAGATATGTGAAAATAACCCTCGACTTCCATTAAGGTGGTGGTCAGCAGAAATTGTCTGGTCTTTGTCTCAGTGGTGCTGTTAGCCAGTTTCCCCATTTTGTTCTCAAGCATTTGACTCCGGAAACCTACATGCAGCACGCTGGTGGGGCTCTGGAGCCAGACGATCTGGGTTCAGAACACGTTCTTCTCGAGCAAGTTATTTAACCTCTCTGACCCTCAGCTTCCCTGAATATAAACTGCAGATAGTAGAGCCGCCTTGGAGGGTTTGTGAAGACTAAGACGATGTATGTGAAAAGCCTAGAGAGCTGCCCGTCGCAGGTGTCCAGCAAACATTAGCTAGTGTGTGTCTGTGTGGCCATGATTATCATCCCTGGGAGGATGAGCCATCAGATCTGGCCTTCTGCGTGCGCTTGGGCTCCTCGGGCTTTCCATCTGTCATTCTCTGTGTTGGCTCTCACCCTTAGCTTCTTGTCACTCACAGTCTCGATCAGAATCTCTTCTCTTCACATAAGTCACCATTTAAAAAATGTAAAGGCCCTCAAGAAGCAGTAGAAAGCTCCTTCTAGAATACTGTGAGTCAGAGACGTTGAGGGCACTCTTCGAGGAGCAGTTGCTCATTCTCTCAGCTCTGCTTCCAGCCCTGGCCATCTCTCCATCTTGTCTACCTGGTTACCGTGAGAACTCTCAGAAGCTTTGCTGAAATCACCAGGCAGCAGGTCTATGGCATCACCTGATCTCCTTGTCTGGAAATCTTGTTTTTGCCTATTTTTAATTTTTGTTTATATTCTGTTTTTGTATGCATGTGTGATTTTATAATCTTGTTTTGGAAAGGCAGTGAAATTACTGGGACCTTTTTTGAACTTAGGGAACTCCAGCTGGCTCACAGTCCTATCCTGTCCTCTCTTTTTTTCTGGAGTGCCTGCACCCATCTTGTTCCGTGGTGTCCTGGGTAAGAGGGCAGATGCTAGGGCCATGCTTCCTGAATTCGAATCCCTGCTCAGTCACTTCCTACCTGTGTGGCTTAGGAAACCTTCAGAACCTCTACGTAAAATGGAATAATGACACCAATCGTTGATTTGTGGAGTAACTGAATGGGTTAATACAGGCAGCTTTCTTGGAACAGTGCTTGGCACACAGTAAATATTATACAGATGCTAGCTAGCAGTAATAGTAGTTTGGGTACACCTTAATTGTTGCCGGGACTGTACTATTACTGTAGTATTATTTATTATGATTCTTCAAATTGGCTCACCTTTTTTTGCTTTAAAAAATTTCCTTTGGGGCTTCCCTGGTGGCGCAGTGGTTGAGAGTCCGCCTGCCGATGCAGGGGACACGGGTTCGTGCCCCAGTCCGGGAAGATCCCACATGCCGCGGAGCGGCTGGGCCCATGAGCCATGGCCGCTGAGCCTGCGCGTCCGGAGCCTGTGCTCCGCAACGGGAGAGGCCGCAACAGTGAGAGGCCCGCGTATCACAAAAAAAAAAAATTTCCTTTGAAATATATATCTGAAATGGAAGCCCAGTATCACTTGCCATAAAAAGAAGGTATGTGTAAAAATGCAAAAACCACAAGACAATGTTTTTAAAGTCTAAATAAATATTCTTGCCTTCCAGGCTGTGAACCCAAGGCGTGCTTGCCCACACGCTCATGTGCTGTCTCCTAAAAAGAGAGTTAAAGTACTAGGGAGATAATGTTAAAGCTATCCTAGACCCCAACTGAGAAACTCTGTATGGCATACATGGAAAAACCCACTTTCCCACCGTGTGGTTCTATGCCGTTTAATACAGACCCCCATCTCCTCCTAGCCTCCTACCAAATCCCACACTTTGCAGGCCTTGATCTGGGCCATTGTGGTATGTTATAGATGACAAGACATCGGCCTTGTTGTCTGCAGAATCTCCCCATATGAAACTGTGCCACGTTTGCCTGCCTGTTCTGTGACTCTGGAGAACGTGGATACTCCAGGTTTTCTCAGAAACTGCCCATGGAGGTGCTACTCTCAGAGCTCATGAGGTCTTTCAGTGGTGCTGCAACTCCTGCGAGCCAACACCTGAACCCATGGGGCAGCCAGGAGCTCTCCTCACCTGTGTTGGGCTGCTCCTTCCCCTTCAAAGTTGGCTCGGCCCTTCCCAGCTGCAAGATCATTGTTCTCCTTGGAGAAAAGAGAGCGCCAGCAGGCGTGGTTAGTGACAGACACCTGCCCCGATGGCAGTCCCTTCTTCCCCTCATTCTGCCTGTTCCAGCTCAGGAGAAAAGGCCCTTTCTTCCATCCAGGAGGCCTCACTTCCACTGGCTGCCCTTGTAGGTCCTGCCCCTCCTGTTTTGTCCTGATTGGAGTCCGCTCTGAACCTGAGCTCCTCCAAGGTCTCCATGTAACCTGGTGGGTTGGTTGGTTTCCCAGCCCTTTCTTCCTAATGGAACCCCTTCCGGCTGGTTCCATCGGGTTAGAGATTCCCATCTCCCACGAGTCAGAGCATTCCCTTCGTAAGCTCTGGCCCTGGGAACTTACCTCTGTTGTTTATCAATGGTTGGAAACCTGTTCTCAAATCCAGGCTATGCGTTTCCTCCCTCTCCTGTTACAAACGCTCAGGTGACCCGAGCCCTTTATCCTGAGGCCCCTTATCTGGTCCTCACCACCCCCCTGAGTTCCTCCTGATTAGGAGTCAGTCACTCCAGGCCAGCAGCTCTGTCCCCTGCTTCTTCCGAGAGATGAAGTTCTTGGCATGTCCCGGTCGCTTTCTCCCATATTCTGCATTTTGCGGGGTGAGCCTCCCCACAGGCGAATAGCTGGCGGGGTCCCCGTCGCCGCTCTGTGCCGTGCTCACGTCTGTAGGTGCTGGAAGCCTTGCCCAGAGGCCAGTGGTCAGTGAGGCGCTCCTGCCACAGAATAGCTTTCATTTCTCCCTCTTTTCATTCCGACCTAAAACGTTTTCCATTGTGTTCTCCCTTCAGGTCCATGGGTTTCCTCCAAGAGGAAACAGGGGTGTAGAGGTATATAATCTTTCCATTGAAAGGGTCTTCTCCTTCCCCTCCCATCAAGCATGTTTCTTCTGGGGGAAAAATTATGTTTTACATCTATATATGCTCCATTTCCTATGTGTAGGGTCTGACACAAGTGGGTTCACTCTCTGAGCCTCAGTTTACTCTTATGCAAAACAGAGACAGTGACGGTCTCTACCCCATAAGGCTGTTTGGAGACCCAGATAAAATAATGTCCATAAAAAGCACCATTTAGTGCTTAGCATATACTGATCAAGATAGCAGGCATTAGGGAATCCCCTGGCAGTCCAGCGGTTAGGACTCCGAGCTTCCACTGCAGGGGGCCTGGGTTCGATCCCTGGTCAGGGAACTAAGATCCTGCCAGCCGCACAGTACGGCCAAAACTGAGGTTCAGAGAAGCGAGTACCTTGCCCAGGATTGCAAGTTAGTGGAACTTATCAACCAGGAGGGAAACTCAGGATGTGCACAAACTTCTTGTTCTTTCTGCTACACCCCCAGTGCTTAGAGATCCAAATAGACCTAAAATCTAAATTTGATCAAGGAGTAAAGAGAGTCCAGTTCTGGTCAGATTCACTGGGAGTCTCTAGAAATAGAGGTATTTGTGGCTCAGCCCTGCACGGGCTCGTCGCTTCAGAGCGAAGCTTGCCATCAGCTGTCCTGTGGGCAGGACCCTTGGGAGCCTGCAGCAGACAGCTACACCCCCACAGATAAGGAAGCAGATGCAGGCCTGCTGGGTGTTGGCTCTGCCTCGGGTTCTATGGACAGCAGTCCTTCGTGTCTTGGAGAAGCTGGGAAGTGGCCACTAACCAAAATACCCAGGTGTAAGGTTTACAAGTAAACTCTTAACGCCGCCTTTTCAGCAGCATGCTTTAATTTCACATATTCACTGTGACGTTTGAAAATAAGAATAGAAAAGCTCTTTTAAATTACGTGCATCTGTTGGTTTATACCCCCTCTCAGCTGTAAGTAAATGTCATTTTTACCCAAGTTGATGCAGCTGTAGGCTTGGAGAGGAAATTTTTTTTGAATGCGTCAGAATTTGACTTGATGGATCTATGATGGGATAGGCAGCTTGGCCCTGAGCTTTGCTTCGAGGCCAGAGTTAGGAGTGAGACTGCTAGGGAACACGTTTCAGGATTTGGAAGGGGGAAGAGAAAACGGGAGGGGCCGTGGGGAGCCACAGCAGCCCTGGACCTGGGGCAGCCCACTTAATCCTGCTGAGCCCGGGTTTCCCCCTCTGCTGTCTGGCGCGTGTCAGCTCCGTAGGACTCGTATACGAAAGCTCTGGTGGGGCCTGTGGCCGCAGTGATGATAATGGCCACCGTCACCGCTGACCTGCCCCCGCCCCGCAGTGAGCCTGGCACTGCACACCATTCTCTCCAGCCTCTGTCACCATCTGGGAAGCAGGTGCTGGCCTGTCTTTCAGGTGAAGAATGTGAAAATCAGAGAGCTTAAGTAGTAGCAGGTTCAAGGTCATAGGGCTCACCGTGGAGGAGGAAATGATCGTAGCAGACGTCGGTCTGGCTCCCACAGGTGTACTCTTAGCGGCTGTGCCGTGAGGAGTGGACGCCGAAGGAGGAATGAGGTAGAAAGGGGTGTTGAGAGCAGAGAAGGGGCCGAGGGACGGGGGTGTCGGGTAGAGGTCGCTCCTAAGTCGAGGCCCCATGTCGGAGGCTCTCCTGTTTCTCCAGCAGTTGGACCCTGGTGATGAAGAAGGAAAGTCTGTGTGCTCAAATTCCAGCTCCAGCTGGAGTGAGAGCTGTGGCCTGGCCCCTGGCGGGTTGACCTCCCCCCCACTCCCCAGCTGCCCAGGGGAGGAAGGGAGGTTCCCCGCCCACCCTCAGAAAACAGACGCAGCACAAAAGTGGCCTCGCCTGCGTCTCTCTTCTCCCAGCAGCTCTGAGTACCTGGTGCGAGTGAGAGGGCTCTGGCCAAACATCCAACCCGTCTGCCCAGTAACGGCCACGAGGACCGCCGCACAGCCGAGCCTAACCCCTACCCGCTGGTTCCCTTGCAGACCAAATGCCACCAGTACTGGCCCTATCCTCCCGAGGTCATGGAACACGGCAGCTTTCACATCCGCTGTCAGTCAGAGGACTGCACCATCGCTTACGTGTTCCGTGAAATGCTGGTCACGAACACCGAGGTGAGCACCGCACAGGCGGCAAGTGGTCCAGGGGAGGGCACGGGTTAGAGGCAGGCGCTGAATCAGCATCCACCGTGGGCCCGGGTAGCGCTCTACTTCTAGGTCAGTCTGTGTTTTCACCTGGTGGGCATTTCAGTAGATGTACAGACGGCCTGGAAAAGAGCCAGCACCCATGTCCACAGCAGCATATTTCACAATAGCCGACAGGTGGAAACAGCCCAAGTGTCCACTGACAGATAAATGGATAAACAGAATGTGGTGTATTCATACAATGGAATCCTAGTCCCCCTTTACAGAGAAGGAAGTTCTGACACATGCTACTGCATGGTTGAACCTCGAAGACATTATGCTGAGTGGAAGGAGCCAGACCCCAAAGGTCAAATACTGTGAGGTACCTGGAGTAGTCAGTTCACAGAGACGGAAAGGAGGACGGTGGTTGCCAGGGCTGCGTGGCTGGGGAATGAAGTTAGTGTTTAATGGGCACAGTGTTTCAGTTTGGGAAGATGAAAAGGCTCTGGAAGGAATTGTACATAATGTTTAACATGGTAAGCTTCTTGTTATGTGTCTTTTGACCATAAAAAAAAAAAAAGAGCCAATGTGGGTGGCCCTAATCGTAAGTACCATAGGAGCAAACGGGAAGAGATCACTGTGGGCAGAAGTGGTGGAGGAGACATCGGGCAGGAGGTGGCCCCAGCGGAACCCTCGAGAGTGGGTGTTTGGGAGCGTATGGGAGGCGGGTGGGCAGGAGTTGGCAGTGGCCGTGGCAGGGTGGTACCCAGTGGTAGAAGAGTGTCCGGAGACAGGAGCTCCCTGGCTGGAGGCCGGAGCGGGGCCAGGGTCCTCCTGTCCACCTGCCCACCGTCCAGGTAACTCAGCGAGGCCACTCTGTCTCTTCGCAGACCGGAGAGGAGCACACCGTGACGCATCTCCAGTACGTGGCATGGCCAGACCACGGCGTTCCCGATGACTCCTCAGACTTTCTGGAATTTGTAAACTATGTGAGGTCCCTGAGAGTGGAAGGTGAACCCGTCCTAGTTCACTGCAGGTACTGTGGCTTGTTGGCTTTATTTTTTTAATACTCATACTCCTTGGGAAAGGCCTGGAGAAAGTTGGCAGGCATCAAGCCCACCTAAATCCCACAAGACTAGATATGCTTTTTACAAAGCTCTCTTTGCTTTCTTTCTTCACAATGTCAAAAGATCCGGACAAACTTGTGATTGCAGCGCAGAACTGGAGAACAAACTCCCTCCCTCATCTTTCCCTCTGTTCCCAGCTGACTGACCTCACAGTAGATGCGCATAAGATGGGGGGTGGAGTTTGCACGGAAAGGTGGGTTTCTTCCCGTTGGTTTTTAAGCCCCCGGTCTGTTCAAGAGCACACCTTGAGCGTGTGTTTTGTGTTCTTTGAAGGTCAGAGGAGGAAAGCTCCATCTGAGTAAGCGTGGGAACTGGCGAGGAGCTGAGCTGGGCTGTGCAGAAATGCTGTCTGAGCAAATCCCGTCTCTGCTCCTTTCCCCCCAGTGCTGGGATAGGTCGAACCGGTGTGTTGGTCACCATGGAAACATCCATGTGCCTGATCGAGAGGAACCTGCCCATTTACCCACTGGATATTGTTCGGAAAATGCGAGACCAGCGCGCCATGATGGTGCAGACATCAGTGAGTAGAAATCCAGTAATAAAAATACTAACGATGGCCAGGCCTGCACAAAGGGCTTTTGCAGGTCGAGAGACCAAGGCTCCAAGGGACTGAGTCACTTGCCCACGGTCACAGAGCTTGTCAGGGGCTGAGCAGATCCAACACCCACCCCATCCAAGTTCTGCTTCTTGCTACCCACCACTTCTGCTGCCTCACAGTTTGTTTCCTGCCAGCCGCTTGGCCAGGGAGCAGCCCCGGTTGCACTCTGCATTGTCAAGCCACTGACCCATCATGTGTCTGTCCATCGGAAGTAAGCAAGGTCACCTGAGGGTTTCACCCCACCCGCCTGCTCCTGGGTGAGCCTTTTGACTCAGCAGATGTCTCACATGGCCCTACTCTCTCCTCTTCTGGGCTCTCTCCCACGTACGTCACGCCTGGGTACCTGGCACTGCAAGTGTCCACAAGAGGAAATATTGTGGCTTTCCCCCAGAGCTACAACAGGGGCAGTGGGGTGGCATGGAAAGTTCATGATTCACACTCCCCCACATACTGGGCAACCTCTGAATAGTGCCTTAACCTCTCTCTAAGCCTCAGTTTCCCCATCTGCAAAATAAGGACTATCCCATATTCATTCATTCATCCGTTCAACAGATAATTGCACAAGCAGGAGAGACCTGAGCTTATATCTAGTAGAACTGGATCAGTTGGCTGTAAATCTCAGCATTAGTGGGAGAAGTCCAAAGGGAGTCTAAGAGCTCGGGAAGAGTGTCAAAAGCTGACTTTGGAAAGTCAGGGCTTTCTGGAGGAATGGCCTCCGAGGCCATACCCCGCGATGGATGAGGAGAAGTTAGCAAAGAAGGGAGTGGGACTTGCCCTGAGCTCTGTGTCCTCACGGACTCATGGACCAAGCTCATAAGATTTCTCTAACGATGGTGAGCTCGTGTTTTAAATTCATGTGCACCCAGGAAACCTGGTTAAGAAAAAAAAAAATCAGGTTCTCTGCCCTGTTTTGTGGTATGGAAGACCTCATTGCTAGTTAAAGAATGTTTAAAGTGCATCTTCTGGGCACATTTTCCTAGCTGGTGCAGCTCAGTCTGAATGCTTTCTTGTCACCCAGGACACATCAGTCAAATACGTCTCTTAGGTGTTTGTTAATATAAAGAACCTTACCCTGTAGAGCGGCTTTCAGTGGCTTTCCTTTGGAAGACAAAATCCAGACTCCTTATCTCAGTGCAAGGCCTTCTGCAGCCAGGTCCCAGCCCACCCGTGCCACCTTCCTACCAGCCCCGCTACCGACAGCTGTCCTGGGCCAGGAGCGTGAGCCCTAGCTGTGTTCCTCTGAACGGGCCACCCTTTCATTTCCACGTATACTGGTGTGTACATTTGGAACGGCCACCCTGCAGCAACCTGTGTGCCTCCCTGACTCCCCAAGACTGCCGGTCCGTCCCTCTGCCGTGTTTCCATGCCACGGTTGCCCAGCCCTCATCACGTAGTGAGCTCACGGGTAGGTGTGTCTTCTCCACACCGTGTCCCTGATGTAGCCCAGGGCCTGGCTCGGCCGGAGCTGGAGCTCAGGGTGTTTATGAGTGAGGTGAAAGAATAACTGTGTCTGTGGTCTGATGCAGCATTTGTGGAGGTGCTGGCCAGCTTGACGGCTTTCTGTTCCTTTCCAGAGCCAGTACAAGTTTGTGTGTGAAGCGATCCTTCGTGTTTATGAAGAAGGCTTAGTCCAAATGCTGGATCCCAGTTAAGATGACTGTGAAGACGTTCATTCCTCTTTCCCAAGGGCGTCCTCCTTCTCTCTGGAAACAGCAAGAGGAATTTGTAGGCTGTGGGAAAGGAATGAGCATATTTGAACCCAAGCACTTTAAATTTCTATTAAAAGAAAAAGGTATCGTGTACATAGGAACTGTGTAGATAACGCATGCGGTTATAGCATCATTTAGGCCCGCACCTCCTCCGGAGAGATAAGCAGAAGGGGATCTCAGTTTGGGGCCTGTCCTAATGCCTCCCTCCTTCTCCGTCTCCATATTCCTGTAAACCATCCTTGGGCAATTGAGAGGGGTCGCCAGCAACCCTGTTGACCTCCCAGAAACGAGATGGTGTGGCTGTTCAGAGTTGCTTGGATGAGTTGTGTGTATATGTGTATAGGACTAAGGGCTGAGCTTTCCGTGTGTCTGGGCGGAGCTGGAACAGTCAGCGTTCACCTGCCCTGATGCTAACGAGAAACCCCATGAATGTACTGAACGGCAGGGGGTGGGGTGTCAGGCCTAGGGGCAAGCAGTGCCTTTTCTGCCCTCCCTTCCTTGGCCCCATCTCCCTGCCACCTCCAATATTCACGTTTCTGAGAATCGTGTCCGAATGCCCTGCCTTCTCCCTGCATTAGTGACCCTCCTCAGGTTCACACCAGCGCCTGAACCGGGCAGTGCAGGTTTCGGGTGAGTTTTCAGTTAAGACTCTGAGAACAAGGACTCCCAGTGTTGTCCCACGTGTTCGTTTTTGGAGCAGGTGCCTCTTGCCTCTGCTTTCCTCTTGCTGTACCCTCAGCACCCAGGACTGGAATCATCCACTACTGAATCTAAGACATGGATTGCTGCTACTTCGAGCTATTACACTTGAAACATTACAATTTTCCTGAGGGGAGATGGGATATCACCTAAATATTCAGAATCTTTGGCCCTTCTGAGAAAAGATCTAGTCGTTGAGCCATGGGAAACCCAGCTTCTAGAGGGTTGCCTGTGGAGGTGTGTGTGTGTGTCTGTGTGTTGTGTGTGCTCCCACGGGTGAGTGTTTCTTGGGATTCCTAACTTGATTCAAATTACAGTTGAGTTTATATAAAGAATGAGTCTCTGTATAGAAGAACAAATGTGTGCATTCACTTAGTTACAATGGTCTTCGTTTCATTTCAAAGGAGAGGATCAGACTATCTGAATATAAACACAATTTGATGTTAATTTATTCTAAGCACACCATGATTTTGATTGTCCTAAAGAATTCTGCCTTTGTTAATACTATGTTAATTTTTTTTTTTTAATTTGTGACAGGATTGTAGCAAATTATTATTTAAGGAAAATAAATTACGTAAACATTCTAAAGTGGTATTTTGAAATAGTGGTTTTATGTATCCAGAAGAAACAGCTAAGTATCCAATTTCTTAACGGGATTTATAGAAAAAGGATGGTTTCATGTTATAGTGCACTGAAATGAGGCCGTTTTGATGTTTAGCAAACTGGGCTAGTTGAGTAGTTTCCTGGTCACAAACTGGGTAAAAGACCTTTACTGTAGGGGCCAGGTTTCTAAAGGTTGTCTCCAGACCGAGCATATTTACCGCATTCTTTACATCTTTTCCCCACCGATGCTTTACTGTTAAATGGCCAGGGTGGAGGAAGGTGTTGTGCCGTGTCATGAGCCATACTGTGCGACAGGAGACACCGAAGCCCCATCCTTGTCAGGGTAACGCCAGGCTAGCAGAGTGTAGCAGCAGAGTCTGGAGCTAAGGGGTACGGGATTTGGTTTCTGATTCCACTCAAAAGCTAGCCCTAGGCCTAGTCACTTATGAGCTTTACCTCCATCTTCTCATCTGTAAAATAGGAGAAATAAATAATACTGAGGACTTTGGGTCGGATATGAGTATTGAATAAGATGATGCTATGAAAATTTTCATCAGCTGGAATCTGACACTGCTCTGGATGAATTACTTTGAAAAGTTAACTTATCAGTGACTAGCCCCCAGATCCATGAAACAGAAGTAGAAGCAGCTGGGTTTTTGTAAGAGAAAATCGCTTTTCTTCTCAAGAGCACCAAGGGCACAAAGGAGTATCATACAAGTACTTCTGGACTCAGAAAATTTGATCAGCCAGGCACCAAAAAAGAGGGAAAGCTGAAGTGAATTTAAATGCCGTCAGGATACTGAGCAAACCATGGCCATTTGATAAAAAGGCATCCTCACCCTCTGTGTAAAAAGCTTGTGAAGCCTAAATGAGTTTGGAGATTTATGTTTTATTCTTTTTTTAAGAAACAAATTTTTTCATATGGTTGAGGAAATGCTGCCGTTCTTTTACATCAGTTTCCAAAAAGTTTACCGAAGGTTGCAACCAGCCTTTTTCTGCCACTGTGCGGGCCAGTAGTTCAGACTCAGCAGATGTTACCAGGAACAAAATCCATGAAATCCTGGGGAAGAACAAGACAAGAGAGTTATCGAAAGGAGTAAAATATGCAAGTTGATACTACAGATGCTACCAATTAATTTATGGAGTTCAAGATTCCTGCTTCATCACCTTATACACTTAAGCAATTATACCTAAGAAGCCCGTTTTAGCCCAAAGTGAAGAATGTCATCAAAATCAGGATAAACATTTTGCCTGGGAAATTGGGGTATGAATGGAGAAGACATTTACATCCTGTGTTCTGGCACTCTCGGAAGATCTAATTAGACTCGTCGATGTGCAGACATAAAATGGGAAATCCCTCCTGGTGTCACTCCATAGAACCTGTACTAGGTGTTTTGATTTTCCAGAACGAGAGATCCAACTCAGTTTGGTTGGGGGAGAAGCGGGGAGGGTTGGATCACAAACTTGGGCTGGTCTTTAGTTCCTACCACAGTAACTTATACTTCAGTTTGCTTTGAGATTAGCATAGATGCTGTTGCTGCAAAGTTGCTGGTTGATGTTTCTTGTTCCTCGTAGAACTTATCGTAGAACCGGAGGCAACGAAGAGGCAGCATCAATGGGAAAGGGTGGGCAGAGGCAGGACGTGGGTCTAGATTAGACTTAGACAAGATGTGTCGCCCTCAGCCCTCACTTTCCTTCTAAGTAAAAGGGGGAGTTTGGGCTCGAGGGGATGAGCTCTGGTCTTTTTCAACATCTGCCGTTCTGGGAGTCTATTCCAGAGAGTCAAGGTTAATCCTAAACCAAAACCTCCAGTAAGCTACTGGAGAGAGATGTATCACGTTTCTGGAACTTGTCTCCAAGAGCTGGTCCCTCAGACCTTGGCAAAGACTCTGACCTCAGCCTGGGAAGCCAAGCAGGGAGGGAGTCCAATGGCCGGGCTGTCCAGCATCTCTATAACTCACGTTCCCTCTAGAGTACCCAAGGGATTTGTGTTGTCATGTAGTTTTGAAAAGTATCTTAATTGATTAGCAATATTTTGTCTGTAAAGTTGTAGTGTTTTTCATTCTGACCTGTTCTTTCAGTGACTCTACTGAAAAACAATTTGATCAATATAAAAGCATTCAAGCTATGCAACACTGTTATTGTGTGTTGACATTTTTATTCTGATGTCTTGATTTCTGGAAATGTTTTCTCATTTTGTTTGCTTTTTTTTTTTTTTTTTTTTAAGTAAGTGTTAACTCTCTTGGAGGAGAGTCCTCTCTGCCATCTCCACCTTCCCTTGGTGAAGGATGACCATGGACAGCCTTGACCTTGTGTGGCAAGTTCTAGATCAGAAATAGATTCAGCTGTCATGACAACAGTAGCTTACACAAAGTAGAAGTTTCTTTACCCCTCTCCCATGCAGGGCTGCCAGGTGGCTGCATGATCCCTAGGGTCTCAGGTTCCTTCTGACTTGTTACTTGGCCATTCCCAGTATGCAGCTTGTACATTGAGGTCCGCGATGGCAGCTCCAACCGTGTTCACATTCTAGCAGGCAGAATGGAGGAGGGAGGAGGAGAAAAGCAAGACCCTTCCCTTAGGGTGTGTCATGTGAATGTGTGCGTCTCATCAATCCGAACTTACAGGGCCATACCTACCACAAGGGAATCTGGGAAAGATAGTTTTTATTCCAAGAAGCCATGTGCCTAACTAAAAGTCAGGAGTTCTGGGAATTCCCTGGTGGTCCAGTGCTTAGGACTCAACGCTTTCACTGCCGAGGGCCTGGATTCGATCCCTGGTTGGGGAACTAAGATCCCACAAGCTGCATGGTGTGGTCAAAAAAAAGAGCTCTAAAAAAATAAAAATTCAGGAGTTCTGTTTCTGAGAAACAAGGAAAGAATGGGTTTGAGGGACAATTAGTGGTCGCTGCCATAGCTCAACCCTTTGGTGTCACCTTTCTTGTCTCACGTTGTCCCTGAGGTAGACAACTCAAACCCCAGCCAGGTATGGCATGGATCTAAAGCCAGAATCACATTTGAGTGATTTGTGGTCCTCTCTGTCAGCTCTGGGTGGCTTCTTGTGGTCTAATGACCTATAAACTCACTCAAGTTATTTTCTCCCAACATAGCCCATAAACAGTCGTGAAGTAGAAACAGGAAAACGGCCACTGAAAACTCATTCATAAGAGGAGAGAACAGGAAACACTGCTGCAACAGGTTGCCCAAGCCCACTGCAGGAATAATGAAGACGCCTCTGGCTGGCCATCGAGTCCCTTGGATGGTCACCTGACAGCCCAGTCCCACTCTGGGAGGGACTCCTTGTCCACTGACCTCCCTGGTCACATCCAAGGTGGGGCTACAGAGCTTTTGTAGCCCTGCTTACTCCTGGGGCAGTTTGGGAGGTGCCCAGGGTTGTGATTTCTCTGCCAATAGAATTCCACCAAGTACCCACAGCCGAAGATCTGGTCTAGACCGGTGTTCTGTGCTCTGCCTGTGTTTCTTCTCAACTTGAAGGTAGCGACTTTGGGGCCACCTGACCAAGAAGTTTGGGTGGGAAGGCAACACCCACAGTCTGATCTTTGGAGCTACTGGTTTGCATTTTCCGGCAGAGAAGTCTTGAAAATGGCTTGCTGCCCCAGCCTGTCTCCTGCTAAGGCTGCCACTTCAAGGCCACTGCTCTTAATAGCTGCAGTTTGGAGAACAGAGGCTGTTGGCATTTTCTATGCTTCAAGATTTTAATCAATTTTGATTACAGGCTAGAGACCGTGCCTCCCTTGGTAAAGCAGGATTGCCTTCCATCTCTGCTGCAGGCTGTCTGGCTCTAGCCCCAGTTCATCTCACTTTTATATGACTTTGTGAAAAGCAACAAGGAGCAACATTCACACTTTAATCACTCTCCCACCATTTCCTCTATTGCCGTGACCTCTGTCAGCATGTGGTCCATCCAGTTTCATCAGATGTTTAGCCATTATATAAAAGACAATATCTATTCTTGACATCCACTGCCTACCAATTCCACTAAGCCAGTGCTACGTTTTAGATGTTATTTGCAGCATCCCATTATCAGTTATCAAATTCTGAATCCAAAAGCCAAAGTAAAGGTGGTTGGAGCAAAGTACAAGTTTTATTTCTCACATAAACACAGGAGTCCAGAGCTGGTACAGTGGCTTCATGATCGTTGGGACCTACACCCCTCCAATCTTCAACGTACACCTTCACCTCATAGTCCAGAATGGCTGATCCAGCTCCAGCCATCACATCCATGTTTCAGCCAGAAGAAAAGAGGAAAAGGGACAAAAAAAAGAATGCCCCTTCCCTTTAAAGATAATTCCTGAAAGATCCATAGACTACTTGATTAACACACAACGAGAACTTGATCATAGGGGTGCATCTAGCTGCAAAGGGGTGAAGAAATGCAGTCTTTACTCTGGATGGCACTCTACCCAACCAAAATTCAGGAGTTTTGTTATTGAAGAAAGGGAAATGATTATTAGGGCACAATTAGCAGCCTCCCCTACAGATCCCTTGACTTCAGATCTACTGAAGGGCTGACATATGAGGAGTTAACACTGCTCAAGACCGAGCACACAAGAACAACTGCAATTACGTCACTTAAGCAAAACTGACCCACCATCCTGAAGAACAGCACTGACAGCTCCTAACATCATCAGCGCTCATCCATTACATACATGAATCATTTGAATAAGAATAGACTGATGGGCTTCCCTGGTGGCACAGTGGTTGAGAGTCCGCCTGCCGATGCAGGGGACGCGGGTTCGTGTCCCGGTCTGGGAGGATCCCACATGCCGTGGAGCGGCTCGGCCCGTGAGCCATGGCTGCTGAGCCTGTGCATCCGGAGCCTGTGCTCCACAACAGGAGAGGCCACAGCAGTGAGAGGACCGCGTACAGCAAAAAAAAAAAAGAATACAGGTCATTCTTCTTCTGTGGCCACCCTTGTATCCTTTGCTAGTTAGTCCCTACGCCTCTAGATTCCTCTCGTGGTTGAGGAAGCCACCAGAATTTCTCCTTAGGCTACCCCAGGGCTTCCAACATCATTGTCCGAAACAGAGGAAGAGCGAGAAAAGAAGACTTGTTGGGACGCAGCGGCAGAGGTCCGGGGAGGAATGGTGGCAGTGAAGACAAGGTAGGTGGTCGTAGTCCAGACATATTTAAGAGGAAGGGGTATGGCTTGATAACTGGTGGGTGTACCAAGGGAGGAGCCAAGGATGGGGCCAGTTTCAAGGTTGGGCAACTGGGTGGGTGTGGGAGCTGCAAACAAGGAGAACTAGGTGTGGGGAAGATGAAGAGATTGTTCTCTGAGTCTGAGGTCTGATATTAGGGACACATGTAAACCAGTCAGAGGAGTCTCACACAGCTATATCTGAACATGAAAGTTTACTCTTAAAAATGGTGTAGGCATTTCTGGGTCCTGAGCACTGCAAACAGCCACAGTAGATGTCTTCTGTGCCACTCTTGTTTGAATGTTAGTCCATTCAAATGACTTCTGTAATCAAATCCAGTTATTAAAATAGCCCATCTGGGGTGAATATGCAATTGTCATAGTCTCCTCAGGCTGCAGTAACAAAATACCATCGACCGGGTGGCTTAAACAGCAGACATTTATTTCTCACAATTCTGGATCCCAGGAAGTCCAAGATCAAGGTGCCTGCAGATTCGGTTCCTGGTGAGAGTTCTCTTCCTGGCTTGCGAACAGCCGCCTTCTTGTGGTGTCCTCACGTGATAGAGCGAGCCCTGATGTCTCTTCTTTTTATAAGGGCACTAATCCCATCATGGGGGCCCCTCATGACCTCATCTAAACCTAAATATCTTCCAAAGGTCCCATCTCCTGATACCATCACACTGGGGGTTAGAGCTTCAACATAGGAATTTGGGGGAGGACACAATCCAGTCCATAGCAGCGAATTCATATATTTGATCATAATTGTAACCAGAGGTCCAAGTTCTGAACTTCCCCACCCCTCCTCTGCCTGCCTGAACTCTCGGAGACCTCACTCTCCCCTAGAGCCCCACAAGCAAGACAGACCAAGGGGGCAGCACACTGGGGCTAAGGAGAGATCCCCAACCTCGGTCTGGACGTCAGCCTCTGCTGGTTGGTGGTCTCAGCACAGGTGTTATGCATGATTTTCTTTAGTAGTGTTCAGCGTTACCCTGGCCCCCTCCAGCCTGAGGGAACAACGCTTCTCCTTCCTGAGAGGGTGGGGTAGTGGGATGGGGCAGGAGCAAGGGAATACCCTCTTTCAGCCCCCATCAGCAGTACCCACCCCAATGCATTTCCAGAGTTATGCATCCCACCCCTCAGCCAGGTGGCTCCTGGGCAACCTCACATTTTTGGCATCTCTGTTCCTCCATTGATGACGATATGAATCAAATTGTGCCCAGCAGCAGCTGCAACCATGCCTCCTCACACTGACCAAGGGAGCCATTCGGTCATCTGTCCTGCCCTGGAGCCCCAAAGAAAACCCCTCAGAGCTTGATGGGTTTCTGGCCTAGGCTGAAACACTCTACCCCACCCGGAACTCCATCCACGTCTCACTTGCACTTTGAGAAATGGGTCCATCATTCCTGTTGTCTTTCAGAACTGCTCATTTACCACCCAGTGCCAAGCCTGAGGTTCCAATTGAACATTTTCTGAAAATAAGCCTCATGCCTCAGAGGCTTTAGCTTCCATCCCATCATTTAATGCCAAGCAGACTATTGTCAATAAAGGGAGGAAAAGTCTCTCCCCTGCCCTCTTCCTGCTACGTGCGTGCACACACACACACATGGAATACCCCAGGCAGGAAGGGGAAGGGTGGTAAGTGGTGCTCTAAAGTGGTATGGCCAGTATCAATGTCAAGATCAGATCTCGGAACTGGTCCCTGTGGACTCCACTGTGTGAACTGCTGACACCACAACACCACTGAACCCCATCCTGCTTTGGACACTGGATGAGCTGCCCCTGCAGCCGCCACCCTCAAAGAATGAACCCACACAGTCCCTGCTGCCTGTCATCTCTGAGTCCTGGGACAGATGCTTCTCACTGGCAGAACCTAGCTTATGAGCCCAGACCTAGCTGCAAGGGAGGCTGGAATGCAAACATGTGGCAT